TTACCATCATATTAACCTTTACACACACACACACACACACACACACACCTGCAGGAGGTTAAATTTATGCAGATCCCACTGCGGAGAAGTCTCAGCATTTCTTCTTATTATTAATATCCTAAAATACACCCTGCGCTCCACTTGGCAGTTTTTTTTTTTTCATTTTATAAAGTTCATTGAACATCAGATAATAAGTTTACATACCAAACGTAAGAGAAAGAGTTCAATAAGATTTAATTGTCAAGAACAAATAACTTATAACTATATGAACTAAATTTAAATTGAACTGTCAACCTTATTATGTTTATATTTCCTTTTTTTCAGGCTATTTTAAAACTCCTGGTACCGAGGCTAAATTTGTTGGACCATCGAGACCCGACACTTTCAGACACTTTGTTCAAGTGACAACAAATGCTGCACACGCCAAAAATGTAAGTAGGATTTTGATAGTAATATGTTACATATTTATGCTAAAATAACAGTGTATTAAACATTTATTGACAGAAAAATCTACACTGTAAAAAACGCAGCTTTTAAACTTAAAAAGCAACCAGGTTAACCAGGTGAACTTGTAATATTAATTCAACAAAAGGATTTGTTTTATTCATTTACGGCAGTTGGCAGACGCTCTTACACTGTGATCATTTTACACAGGTAGGTGAAGGTGGTGTTAGGAGTCTTTCCCAAGGACTCTTATTGGTATAGTGTAGGGCACTGACCCAGACAGGGGATTGAACCCCAGTCTACAGCGTAGAAGGCAGCGGTGTTACCCCACTACACTATACCTTTTACAATCATTTTACACTTAAAAAAGTTTTTTTAAAAGTATGAAACAAAGTTTTACATTTGTTAACTGTTTTAAGTTCAATGATTTCAGCATGTTCTAAGTTTAAAAGCTGCAGTCTAAGTAACTTTAGGGGCTTCGAAGTGGTGAAGCTGTGCACGCATTCACCGCAAAACCAGGAGGTTGTGAGTTTGAACCCCTGCGATGACACAGCCGTCTGTAAGTGGGAGTCCAAGAGGAGGAAATGCCAGGTGGGACTGAGGGATGGAGCGAGGAAATGGAGTAAAACTAGTTCTATATTGTAGAATAACCTGGTTAACCTGGTTAACTTGAAATTTTGAGTTAATTGAACTTTTAATAAGTTAAGAAACGTAAAACTTGTTAGTATTACGTTCAATTAACTCGAAATTTTTAACTGAACATTTTTAAGATCACACAAAAAGTCACACAGTGGATTAAAAAAAAAGGTTTTGACCAAAATAAGAGGTTTGATTTGACTGAATTTTAGCGCCTCAACTTCTTCCCTCAAGCAGTGCCGAGAAAACCTCCCTTATAATTTCATAATTTATAAATTTTATATATATTTTTATTTTAGCTTAGTTGAATGGATTCAGATTTGTATCCGATTTGAATCCCAACTAAGCTACACTCTTAAAAAAGATGGTTCCTCAAGGGTTCTTCAGTCAACACAATTATTCTGTATAGAACCATGAACACTCAAAGAACCATCTGCATCACTTTTAAAAAGAAGGTGCTTCAAAGACTCTTTTGTAAAGAAAATGTTTCTGTAGAGAACCGTAAACACTCAAAGAACTCCTTGGATGATTAAACGGTTCTTTGCAAGGTAAAATGGTTCTTCAGACTGATGGAGAATGTGTTGTATATGGTTCTATAGAGCACCAAAAGTGTTCAGCTATTGTTACAAGCCTGACCTAGTAACAATAGAAGAACACGTTTTGGTGCTCTATAGATCCATATACAACACATTCTCCATCAATCTGAAGAACCACATAATCATGTAAATAGTAACAGTAGAACCCTTTTTGGTGCTATATAGAACCATAATATAGGACCATAATAGCAGAACCTTTTTGGTGCTATATAGAACCATATACAACACATTCCCCGTCAATCCGAACAACCTTTTAACAATGCAAAGGGTTCTTTGAGTGTTCATGGTTCTATACAGAACCATTTACTTTACTAAAGAACCAATAAAGAACTACCTTTTTAAGTGTGATGCTTAAATGGTTCTTCGTATTGATGGAGAATGTGTTGTATATGGTTCCACATAGATCCATCTTTTTTTTGGGATTCAAACCAGCTGCACTCCCAGAGACCCTTCACCACCAGAGCAGAGCCAAATTGGCCTGTCAGTGGTTTTGGGCCGACACAGCGAAGCCCTCAGAGAGTTTCTATTCCCGACTCGCTCTCGGTTCCTCAGAGAGACGCTTTCATTCGGATCTAATGGTCTGCTAAAATGTCGGGGTGCAGCGATGCACCTGTCCAGGTGACCCACAGAGCACAGGTGGACACGCTTAGACTACTGAACCACAAATAATCACTAATCACGCTCACCGCTGAGACACATCTGCACACAGACCAAGAGACACAAAGGGTGGGGGGAGGTGGGGGGGGGGTGAGTGTGCAGGTGCAGATCATCAGATCATCAGAGCAGCTCCAAATATTTGGAAATGTCAGTCACAGTCGGGTGGTGGGTCATTCTCAACACTGCAGTAACACTGACATGGTGGTGGTGTGTTAGTGTGTGCTGCGCTGGTCTGAGTGGATCAGACACAGCAGTGCTGCTGGAGTTTTTAAACACCTCAGTGTCACTGCTGGACTGAGAATAGTCCACCAACCAAAAATATCCAGCCAACAGCTTCCTGTGGGCAGCGTCCTGTGACCACTGATGAAGGACTAGAGGATGACCAACACAGACTGTGCAGCAGCAGATGAGCTATCGTCTCTGACTGTACATCTACAAGGTGGACCGACAAGGTAGGAGTGTTTAATAGAGTGGACAGTGAGTGGACTCAGTGTTTAAAAACTCCAGCAGCACTGCTGTGTCTGATCCACTCAGACCAGCACAACACACACTAACACACCACCACCACGTCAGTGTTACTGCAGTGCTGAGAATGATCCACCACCCAAATAGAACCTGCTCTGTGAGGGTCCATGGGGGTCCTGACCACTGAAGAACAGGGTGCAGAGAAACTGATGGACTACAGTCTGTAACTGTAGAGCTACAGACTGAAACTATATGGTCAGTGGCGCTGAAAAGATGGACACTTCAAGCGCTGTGTGTATATATATAAACATTGTTTATGTAACAGTAGTGTATACGAGAGCACATCATCAGCAGTAGAAGGTGATGAAGGTGATGAAATGATCAAACTTTTTATCAACAGCTTCTACTAACACTCTTTCACACTTCACTGATGTGTGTGTCTGTGTGCACACTTAGTCCCCCAGCGGTGAGGATGAGCGCCAGGTCAACACACACAGACTCAGACCGAACAGTCACTGACAAGGTCACAAAAACACAGCGGAATCAGGGCTGAACGATTTAACGGGGAAAGTGGACCAAAATTCTGACTGCAATTCAAACCGTTTTCTATAAACTCCAAGAACATCAGCACATCCACTTTTTCAAGCTTGAGACTTGAATGTTGAATATGTTGTGATTCTATCAATTCCTTCAAAACTTCTACATAATTAAGTGGTTAAGATGTAAACAGAGTCGTTCAGAGCGGTTTGGTGTGAAACGCTCTGTTCTAGAGAAACTTAAAGTCAGAACTGTTCAGTGGTGGTGATAGGAACCAGACGTCCACCTCTAAAAGCTCCCTCACAGAAAGTTACTACATGACATGGTTATGAATTCACTGCCTGATGACTGAGACACTGTTTTATGATAGTTTTGAGAAGATTTTGGCCTTAAACTCCATTCATGGTGGAGGGATACATCATATGCAGGGTGCTGTGAGGCAAAATAGTCCCCAAAGAAAACTTATTATTTCAGATTTTCCACTATTTTCCATCATCAACATTCCATATAGACTCAGGAGACTCGTGTAGGTTCATTGGTGGTTTGTATAGTAAATAAAATGTCTATATTTGTGTTGTAGTCATGGTGACCCCTGGTTCCTATCACCACCACTGTAAAGACATCTGAACCATTTCACACCAAACCACTCTCAATGACTCTGTTTACATCTCAAACAGGAAATTATGCAGTAAATGACTGAAAATTAGGTGTAATTCTCCTTTACAACCTAAGACAACATTGAATAATTGCACTCTTCCACATTTGATTTTGATATAAACAACATAAAATGCCAACATCAACATCATTAAGGAAAAAACAAAGACAGAGAAGATAAACTGACCCCCTAATTTAAGGATAAACTTTACACATAAAATGGTGTCATTACACTTTATTAATCTTAATAAAGGAGAATTAAGCAACCTCTTAATTAGCAGATACTGGCTTGTTGAGGCTTAATGGGAGCATAATAAGGGCTTTTTACTGACCCCTCAACCTGAAGTGTTACTGAAATCTGTTTTGTGCAGAAGGAATTATTTCTGAATCAGCTGCTTATATTCAACTGTTTACTACCAATTTACTACAGAATGCAAAAAAAGTTTCACTCATTTACAAAAATACAATTTGAAATGAATAACTGGCTCTAAATGTAGGTATTGTGATATAAACTGAGTCTGTTCTACAGTTTCTCATTAGGCTGAATGAATAACTGACTCTAAATGTAGGTATTGTGATATAAACTGAGTCTGTTCTACAGTTTCTCATTAGGCTGAATGAATAACTGACTCTAAATGTAGGTATTGTGATATAAACTGAGTCTGTTCTACAGTTTCTCATTAGGTTGAATGAATAACTGACTCTAAATGTAGGTATTGTGATATAAACTGAGTCTGTTCTACAGTTTCTCATTAGGCTGAATGAATAACTGACTCTAAATGTAGGTATTGTGATATAAACTGAGTCTGTTCTACAGTTTTTCATTAGGTTGAATGAATAACTGACTCTAAATGTAGGTATTGTGATATAAACTGAGTCTGTTCTACAGTTTTTCATTAGGTTGAATGAATAACCGACTCTAAATGTAGGTATTGTGATATAAACTGAGTCTGTTCTACAGTTTCTCATTAGATTTTTTACATTTAAAATAATGTTACAGTAACAGTAAAATAGATTTGTTCTGTGCAACATTTTATTAAAAAGAAACAAAAACAGAACTGCAGATATTTACAAATTAAACAAATATTGGTTGGTATAGAAAAATGCTTTCTCTCATGTCGTCTCAACAAATCACTCACACACAAACACACACTTCCCAAAAACGTGAATGTGTAGATCAGTTCCACATTAATAACACTATTCAAAGGCAACCTACATAAGGACTTAGTAGCACATGCAAAAGCACTGAATAATGTATTTGAAGAGCAATTATTGAGTATTTATAAACAGCTTATGTCAGTATTCACATGGTGATAAGATGTTTATAAAGTAAATGACATTGTATTGACATAAGAACCCTTAAAGTGACAGGCACTAGTTTAGATTTATAACACTGTTATGATGCATTATAATAGACTGTATAAGGAAGAGGCCTATATCTCAAACAAAACTAAGGGTTTAATTTTTATATTATCCTATATCACTTTAAATATGAAAGAGGTCATTAATTTAATGTCAATAAAATTCTATTTATTACATAATACACTGTATAGCATCTTGTGACTGGCAATAGCTGTCCATAAACAATGTTCAGAAACTGTTTATAAACACTCAAATACTGCTTTATAAATACATGACGTAATGCTTATGAACACTTTATGAAGTCCCTATGCAGGTGACCTTCAAATAAAGTGTTCCCAATAAAATACATTACATTAACACAATTATTCTTATAAGTGAACTGAAAGACTTTATCCATGTGGAAACGATGTACACATTATTTGAACCAAGTTAATTCAATGCATTGCTTTTTTTTGTTTTGTTTCACAGTGTATGTGTTCTCTATATATGCATGTCTATATGTATATATACACATACATATACACACACACACATACACACACACACACACACACACTATTTGAACTGGTTATCGATAAGAGTTCCCTTCATCTTGGCCTTCTTAGCTTCTAGTTCAGCCTGAAAAAGAAACAAAAAAGCAAAGATAAACATTAATATACTGTAAAACAGTGGGCTCTAAAACTGTTTCATGTTAGGACCCTCATGTAGAGGCAGTCTCAAGACCCACTATATTTTTTATGAGGTAAAACAAAACAAATATACTACGTTTTTTCCCCAATAGACCACTGTAGCCATGCGTCATTCTGTAGTCCGCATTATGCCCATATTAGGAACTCCGGGTCTAAGCTTCTGGATTTTGGCCAGAATAAATAGGATTTTTGAAAAATAGCCTCTATCGCCCCCTGTGTTAAATAAAACCTTCAGAACCTGATATGTTTAATCCTGCGTACATTTTTCTCCCGAATATCTCTGGATCCTCTGAATTACGAGGTTGTTAAAGAGCCTTAATACTAATATTGCTGCATGCAAGCTAAAGCTACTGTGCGTCAATTTGATGTCACTAAGCTACACAAAATTAAGGCGGGCTGTGGTGGTGCTACCTTATCGAAATGTCCTACTACAGTGCATTTTTTTTTATAGATATGACTGTAAATAGAATCTTTAGATGGACATTTCGATAGCCTAAAAAACTCCTTATAAAAAATACTACCAGTATTAAAACTATGAGGTTGAATTCAGCTTCTTCTTCGCCAGCTTCTTGTTTGAATGTTTCCGTTCCACCTTAAATGGTGCAGCAGCTGTGACTAGCTATCGCAAACATTAACAAATGGGACAAAACAACACTGACCTGTTGGTTCTGTGAAACAGAAAAAATGAGTTAATGTTACTCAGCTGTTAAAAGGAAATAGCAACTACCTAACAACACTTTCCCAACCACCTGGGATACCATGGCAACAACCCAAGTAAAGCTCAGCAACAGCCTAGCAACACTTCCGTAAGCACCAGGGTTGGTATACCATGGCGATGACTTAGCAACCTCTTAGCAACCACCTGGAATAGCACAGTAATGGCCTAGCAACACCTTAGCAACCATCTCACAACCACCGCCTTCCCACGAGTGCTGTACAGTGTAGTATGCTGAGTTACTGATGTTGCTAGCGGTGCGTTTTGTTTGCAAATGACACTTTAGACCTTTCATACTTTGGTGATTCATGAACAAATTCATGTTGGCAGGCAGTTCAAGGCAAGTAGCAAAAAATAGACTCGAAACTTTGAATGTGACCGCAGCCCCCCCTTCTGCTGCTGTTCTAACGTAGCATAAGTGCACTTCTTTTGTGAGTGATCACACTTTCTGTGTATAAAAGACCACAATAACAAACACAGGAGTGTTTTGTGAGCTTCTGTCCTAGAAATGATTCATTCGGCTCTTGTGCAGCTTCCTTGAAACCCACTCATCCCTCCACACTGAGTCCCAGTTTGAAAACTACTGCTCAAAACAAAAGTCCCCCCACCATTTAACACAATTACAGCCTTGAAAAACATGCACACTCAAGAACCGCGTCCTCAGCTACTACAGGTACTCTCTTGTGAATACGGCAGTAATTTGAAGGTCTCTCTCTCTCTTCAACAGCGTCCTATTAAAACCAGCCTCTGTCCAACGGTGCCTTGGTTCTCGCTCTAGTTTAAAGTGCCAGTTCTGTGAAAAATCAATGTCCCGCTCTTATGCCAAATGTAGTTGCCAGGCCAAGACATGTTCACTGTCTGAAGTTTGCTTCTTTAGTTTAGCACTGGAGAAATGCAGCCAGCAAGTAATGGTAAACAGGTACCCCACCAGTTAGCATGGTGCTAACTGCATGTCTAAACCACCACACAATTGTCTCAAACAATGAAGTAACTCAGTAATCTCTAAAAGATCTGATTATGACACTGACACAGAATATGAAGTACTTGTTTTTAGTGGCCACTTTATCAGAAATACCCACCTTGTAGGTCCATTATACAGGTTAACAGTTATACATTGTGGCCCATCTTAAGGGTGGACAATATGAAGATATTTATGTAGTATGTCACAACAAACTACGTAAACAGAGAACAGAATAAGGCCTGTTTAATGAGAAATTGGGGAAATTCAGCAATAAATAGTTCAAGTAAAGCCATGGTAATGAACAGTCTGAAAACAAGCACCGTCAATAGTTGGCGCCCGTGCTAACATGACTAATTAACAGTATCAATGTAGTCTACTTACTTACTTTAACACATATTAGCCCAAGCTGACCAGCACACTGTCGCGGTATGACCAAAACCTTGTATCTCCAAACTTTCAGAACCCTTCTAAACTTGTAATGAAGTTAATATAACCTGATTTTTTCCATGAAGCCGACTTTACACCAAACGACTTTTATCAAGCAATTTAACTGTCTTAGACAAATTTCCAATGTCAGAATAAAATCATGAGTCTTGCTCCAGCTGTGCCGTGCTCAAGTCATCTCGGTCATTTAGTCTGAGGTGGTCAGGACGGCTGTCTTAGGTCAAAATCACGTCAAAATCAACCGTGTTTAATATTATCGTAAACTTTAAGTTTTGGCTCATGCACATAGTGACGTGCCAAGGGCGAGAGAGAGCGAGAGAGTGAGAAATCGCTGTAAAAATAAATGAATAAATAAATCTTCTCCATTTTACAACAATAATCATATTAACCTAAAAACATAAACTGGCTGTTTTAATATTTCAAGCTCGCTGACTGTAACAGTGATGCACGGAAATATGCAGAAGACCTTAAGGATGCCATTATTGAAGAAGCATCAATGCGTTTTTTTCCATTTTTTTTCCTTTCTGTTACAGTGGCTTCTTATTTTGTTTGTTTGTTTATGGTTTAGTTCATAACACCCAATCAACAATGTTGAATCGCTGCATGTTGTGTTGATGAGTAAATCTTTATGTTAAATAAAAAAAGTAACTGCACATTTTACAGGTTAATTAAAGATTCTGGGTGATGATCTGTTAGAATATTCAGTTCTACAGTGAACTGGGCTGAGCCTCAGATCTTTACAAGCCCCCACAGCGCATCTTCCCATCTGCACCACTAAAGAGCGGAGAAGGAAAAGTGCATGATGGGAAACAATCTCACAGTGACACTACATCATCCCCAGTCTTTGCAAAACCATAGTCTGTGACTAAAAACTCTGTGACATCATCTTTCAAGTCTTTTTAAAGTCTTTGAGTGAAATTATTAGCATAATTTTGAATCATTTCTGTGGCCACTTTCATCACGAAATTGTAAAAAAGCGTAGCTGGACTTTTCAAATTATGCAAAAACAACAAAAATGGAGATACAAGGTTGTTGCCTGACAGCACTATTACATGGCCTGACAGACATATACTGTACACACACACACACATATATATATATATATATACATACACACACACACAATATATATATATATATATATATATATATTAAAGTAGGGCTACTGGAACAAGCTACACTCTTGTACCCTCATGCAAAGAAATATTAATTCATTAATTCATAATTTTTGTTCATATAGCACACTTTCCATGGCAACATCAACTAAAGGTGCTTTACAGAAAAACAAACAAATCAGGATTCATAAAAACATGTCTGAAAAGAAGAGTCTTAAGATTCTACTTAAAAAGATCCAGAATTTCTTAAAACAAAAACAAAATCTATAATACGAACCTAAAATGAAAATTCATAAGATTCTTCTTAAGTTTCTGAAACAAAGCGAAATGAATTCATAAAACAGGGCTAAAAAGGAAAGTCCTAAGATTCTTCTTAAGAAAAGAGATCCAGAATCAACTAAAACAAAACAAAAATGAATTTATAAAAACACGTCTTTCAAAAAGAAACAAAGATCCAGAATTTTTAGAGGAAGCTCGTTCCATAATCATCGACCCAGTACACTAAAAGCACGGTCAACCATGGAGCATAAATTTGGACAAGGAACTACCAGCAGATCTGAGGATCTATATGTAAGCAAAACTGTGGCACGGAAGTAACAGATCCTGAAAAACATACTGGAGCTTGTACATTTCATGGTTGACCAAAAGGCATCTAAAGTTGAATTCCTGAGATCCACTGTAACGACAAAAAAAACATCTTTTTTGTTTTTTTAAATGTGAAGCACAAGATTGTTTGGAACTCCTATTTAGCAGTCTGAAGTCTCTCCAGCAGGGGGTGCTATCAGCATACAAGTCACTTTACTGTACATCATTTAGAGAAGAAACAACCGTGAACCCACACCAGAAGGATCAAACCCGCACCTGTGTTTACCGTAACTTCCAAAACCAGTGATAAACCATCATTACCAAAGGTTTATCATCATAAATCAGCTTCAAGGTTAAAAAGTGGGCGAGAATCACTATGTTTAGCATCACCATTTCTTGTTTTTATTACCATTCAACGATTTATTAGGTCATTCCTACACTTTGTTGTAGTCCCATTTAATCTTTCGCTTTTTTCTTTCCACCCTCAGCCAAACAGAAATTTAAGGTGGCTGAAATTGAGGAGCATCCCTAGTATCCAGCTACAAGACACACTTTTTAGATTGAATTTTCATCAAACAATCATAGAAGCACTACCAAAAAATCATATCCAGTCAGTGGTGGGCCCATGGCGGTCTCTTTCCATTGATGGATTGGGTAGAGGGTGATAAATTGTGCAGCAACAGATGAGCCCACTGGGAGCACCGTATAGGTTTGATTTCCAAAAAAACTGGTCACTGAGTTTATAAATACAGTAGCGAGTCGAGTGAATAACTATGTACTTTCTGTAAGTCACTCTATTATGGGCGGTGTTTAGTGTCAGATGCTCTGAGATTGATTTATGAGTTGATTATCGTTATTCTCTCCATAGAAGCAGCCATATGCACATTCATCAGTGCTTACCGACAGCAGCGCACACACTTCAGCCACTCTCTCTGCTGTGTTCCACTGAAAACGCTGTAATTTCAGGCTATAATGTCAAACAAATCAACAGCGGCACTGCCGGGTGTCCGTGTTTGGAGCTCGGAATAGTGTGGTAATTACAGAGCAGGCTGCGTTCAGTAACGCTCACCCACTCTGAGGACACCGTTCACTTCGGACTCCCTCTCAAAGGACTTTTAGGCTTTTTTCACACAGCCAAATCTGATCTTTTTCTTCATACGTGACACAGATGTTTTATCTGTTTGTCAGTGTGAACAGATAAACACACTGAATCTGACTTTTAATTCCGACTGGGGACATTTCCATATGTGGTACTGAAATCCGATACGTATCCGATATGCGGCAATGCGACAAAGTTTGAACAGCCAGATTGGAATTCATGCGACTTTTACGTCAATCCAACTTCACATTCGTCATCATTTGGCGCTGCTGAGACTCAAACATTTAGGCTGATGTTTCTGTACCAAAAGAATTATAAAGCACTTATTGCAAATGCTCTTTGTTTGAAGAGAACTGACTGAATGCGGCTGTAGGAGAACGAGGCTGCAGCGTCAACGAAAAGTCTGGAAGCAAAGTTTAACGAATCCGTGAAGCGCTGTCCTTTTGCGCATGTGGGTCAAGTTTAGGAGCTGATCTGTTCAGATTACGTCGCTTATAGATTGTATGAAAAAAGATATTGTGAACAATCAAACAATAAAAAAATCAGATTTGGTGAGAAAATCTGATCTGGGCCACTTTTACCTGCTGTGTGAACGTAGTGATACAGCAGCAGCAGATACTCACGCAATGTTAATACCAATGATCAGAATTTTAGCCATTTGTCTGGCAAACTGAGTGGAAACTGTGACCTGCACTAAAATTTTGTAATGGCAAGTCTGCTTTGTATGCATGTGTTCAGTATATTCAAAAACAGCTTCAACATCATTTTGACGGTACACTGACTTACAATACGGAGAATGAGGTCTCTGCCGTTGCCACTCCAGCTTTCTTAAAAAAAAAAACTTGAAGGTCCTCAAGGCAAACACTAAGAAGTTCGTAAGAATGTAGAAGTAGAAAAAAATGTAGCTAACAAGAACTAGAGTTGATAGTGGAGAAAGAGCCAACAGGAAAAAATTCTCACTGGAAAGTATGATAATTGTGGGATGACTGACGAGGAGGAGCAGCAGCAGAGGCAGCATCCATGGTAAATTTGGATGCTGACCTCAACTTTTACAACCTAAGGCAAGTGTGAGGCTGTCATAATGTTAGGAAAACATTTAAGAACATAATATTTTCAAGAATAACACTTGTTCTTTGAATTAATCTTCCCCAGGCTGGAATGCCTTCTATAGCGCTATGTAGCTTTGGAGGAGCGAAACGAAACCTCTCGCAAAACACTGCATAACGCTTTACAGCACCACAAAACACACCAACAGCTATAGGTCTTCTATAGCTATAAGAGGCTAGCTTGGAATTCCCAGCATGGACATCATGCCAGAGACTGCCAAAAGACCGAAGACGACACTGTCAGCAGAAGCGAGGAAGAAAAAAAAGAGAGAGTGACTGAGCAAAAGACCAGACAAGAGTGTTCATCCCTGCCAATGTTATTTATGAAAGACTGCAGCATAGGCTGTAACCTTATCGGTGTCTCATCCATGTCTTAGAGTCGTTTTTTCGGTTGCCAAAAGCCATTTAACATCTAACGTTACTCCTCCTAATAAAGAGACACACGTTGAGCTCCGTCTCCTCGTTATTCACCACCATCACTGTAATATTTCATCATCAACATTAACACACGAAGGTAATCAGAGGGGCGGTGGAGATCGAGTCTGCAGCGTCTGAGATCTTTAAAACGCAGAGTTAGAAAAGAAAATCATCTCACAGTGAAAGCAGCGTTTTACAGTAGAGATAAATGGAGCTCATTATGCTGGTAGTGAACTATGCTGCTGACACAGCTGCCTAAAAACCATAGAAACGGACCTTAAACAGAAGTTAGGACCCTGTTGGGGTTCATCCTAAAGTTAGGACAGGATTTAGGAGGTTTAGTCTAGTTAGGATGTTTGTGTGATGCTGTTTTCTTATCTGGAGTTAATGATGAGATTATGAAGTTAGGAACTGTTATTCTGTAATAGCTACTGTCCTCAATTCAGTCTGTACTGAAGTCGTCATGGAGACCAAATAGGTAAGATTTCAGATTTGGGGTGTTTCTGTAATACAGCCTCAGGTTTCCTATTTCTGGTTTGGTATGTGTATCAAAAGGGCCGAGCTTCTCACAAAGCAGCTTTGAATTCTAGTGCCGAGGATCAGAATTTCAGTTTTTTAATGATTCAAGCAAGAATTTCTGAAACTGGTCCCAATAACAAGCTCCCGCAGTATTCAGGAGTGGAGCAGGTCTGTGCATTACTAAATGATGCAATCAATTTCAACTGATTTAATTGAGTGCACAGGCCCAAGTCATGGTTTTCATTAATACAGGATTGACTGTGCATCACTGAGACAAAGAAAAAGTTCAGTCCTGATAGGTGACTTTCAGACTTGTGTATTCTAATCCACGTCCCTCACTGAGCTTTGAAAAGTCCATTAAAGAACAGTAAATGTGTGCGCTTTGTTTTAAAGTTTGGGAAGAGTGTGTGGAGCTCTGTTTAATATCTCAACTTCAAACTTGAAAACTTCAAATTTGCCAAGTCAACCTTTGTTATACATGTTAATTGATCTCCAAGTCCCGCTTTCACTGCCAACATGATTTACATACAGTAATTGGGTTAACCTGCTCCATTTTTAAAAGAGTAATTGCTTCATTTTAACCTGTTCTTTCATCTTTCATGCTGTGAAATCTGACCTGGCTGTGACTTCTATTAAATATGACATAATTAATATTAAAATAAAAATGAATATAACTATATACAGTGCTGTACAAAAGTCTTAGAAGTCTAGGCACAACTTCAAAAAACATTTATCTGGGCTGTAAGTGCGTTTCTGCTCATAAAAGCACCTTATACACCGATCAGGCATAACATTATGACCACCTCCTTGGTCTACACTCATTGTCCATTTTATCAGCTCCACTTACTATATAGGTGCACTTTGTAGTTCTACAGTTACAGACTATAGTCCATCTGTTTCTCTGCATACTTTGTTAGCCCCCTTTTACTATTTGGGTGGTGGGTCATTCTCAGCATTGCAATAACACTGACGTGGTGGTGGTGTGTTAGTGTGTGCTGTGCTTGTCTGAGTGGATCAGACACAGCAGTGTTGCTGGAGTTTTTAAACACTGTGTCCACTCACTGTCCACTCTATTAGACACTCCTACCTTGTCAGTCCACCTTGTAGATGTAAAGTCAGAGACGATAGCTCATCTGCTGCTGCACAGTTTGTGTTGGTCACCTTCTAGTCCTTCATCAGTGGTCACAGGACGCTGCCCACAGGACGCAGTTGGCTGGATGTTTGTGGTTGGTGGACTATTCTCAGTCCAGCAGTGACACTGAGGTGTTTAAAAACTCCAGCAGCACTGCTGTGTCTGATCCACTCAGACCAGCGCAACACACACTAACACACCACCACCACATCAGTGTTACTGCAGTGCTGAGAATGATCCACCACCCAAATAGTACCTGCTCTGTGAGGTTCCTGTGGGGGTCCTGACCACTAAAGAACAGGGTAACAAAGTATGCAGAGAAACAGATGGACTACAGTCTGTAACTGTAGAACTACAAAGTGGACCTATATGGTCAGTGGAGCTGATAAGATGGACAGTGAGTGTGGAAACAAGGAGGTGGGTTAAATGTTGTGGCTGACTGGTGTATAAATATACATAATTATATATATATTGTGTGTGTGTGTGTGTGTGTGTGTGTGTGCTCTCACCAGTTCCTGCAGTCGCTTCTTGCTCATGCCTTTCCTCTCCAGCTGTTTCTCGATGACTTTAGCGTTCTGAGCGTATGAGTCTGCCACTTCACGCTGTAAAAGGCAATCAATCTCACTGTTTATTCACACCGGAGAGCCAATCACACTATAATTACAATTACACACCTTTTCACTTAAATAACAGGGACTAATTACAACGTAATGACTTTTTCACACACATATTTTCAGTGCTTTAGTGTTTTTAAAGTTGTATTACAGTTATATCAAATCAATTTTCAACCCTTTTAAAGACAGCAAAGAATAAACAAACAAATTAATGAGTGAAAAATGACACCAAATCACGACATTTAAACCAGCATCACTATATAATTTATAATACAGCAATCCAATCAAACGTAGTGATCAAAGTACACAAACAATAATACTGCCTATTGTCACTAACGACCAGTCATAAACTTACCGCCTCGATTTCTTCTTCCTCTTCATCGATGGTTGACACGGTAACAGAGCTGAACTTGCCCATGTCTTTGGTGCGCTTCGTCATCATCACCTGGAAAACACCAATTCACAGACAATCAACCACCACAACACAGTGAAACACACATTTCAGCTCTGACTGAGCTCCATCAGCCGTTACATACTGTTTTAATGGACAGAAAAGCTTTTTTTTTATTAAGCTTAATAAAATAACAGCAGAAAATTCCAATAATATACACCCTAAAAATGATGTGCAACTTACTATCTGAATATATTTTGTGTTGTGAAAATCTAGTAAAATGTACAAAAACGTGTTTAACAGTTAAAAATGTGTACGTGTCTGTGGCAGCACATAAAGACACAAATGGATGAGCATGAAATCTGATCAACACCATCTAAATTCAAAGCTAGGTCAGGGGTCGGCGAGCCATTTTGTTCGTTCAACAGGAATCAAACCACCTTGGGAGCCACATTTTATGTCCAATACGTCTCAGTATGTGCTAATGGCCTAGTATAAACCACAGACTTTGCTCTGCTTTAAGCTTTAGCTCAGCTATAGCCGCTTTCCTCCCATCTCCGCCAGGACACTTTTCTTCAACAGTAGAACAGTTTCATGTAAAATGTCTCGCTCAAAAAATTATTTTTTTATACTCAAAATCATTTCACCACCACGGCTCTCAACTCTCAACTTTTTACGAGGCTGAAGTCTCTCAATCACCAGCTTCTTGTTTGAATTTTCCCGTTCCACCTTAAATTCTGACTGAGGCGCCAAGAATCTAACTGCTGCACCATTTAAGGTGGAACTGGGAAATTAGAACGTGAAACTGACTTCAGCCTTGTGACTTTTTAGTATTTGTCAGTTTCACGTTGCAGATTAAATGCATCAGGAAACCAGCTGCAGTGCTTATAAATGCAAATAAGTTCATTTGTCTCCAAATGTTCGTCTTAAATCTCTCTCTTTGCCTTTTCGTTCGCTACTAGGTGAGACTGTCTGAACTGCTATGTGACCTGCAGTCTGTACGCCAGCCTTCAGGGTTATAGGGTGGTGAATTAGCAACATTTAATACCATCTATTGTTAAAACTGTGTCAGCAGAGCTTTATTTTACTGTAAAGGAGGATTATTTTATTTTTACCTTAAAATCTGATTCTGCTGTGGAGCCACAACAGGGCAGTAAAAGAGCCGTATGTTGCCGACCCCCTGAGCAAATGTATGGAAGCACTTTGGCTTCTATGGAGTTGAAGGGGAAAAAGGACCTGGATGGGAGCCACACTACATGCACGTTGTGTCACACTAAACTAAAAAATTTTGGAAACGATAAACATGAGAAACCATATTACACGTTTCCACCTGTTTTCCGTCCAGTTGTAGTCGCTGCTAACCAGAGGACCATCAAGAACGTGATGTCCCAACTCGGAAAGGGCAAAGCGAACTACAAACTATTGCAACTTTTAGTGCCAAGGATTTGCGTCCATACTCAGTCGTTGAGAACCAGGGCTTTCGCGCTATGTTGGACACTTTGGAGCCGAGACACACAGTGTCCAGTCTAGAAGATATTTTACTGACACAGCGACCCCCCCAACTCTCTACAACCAGACCAAAACAGAAGCTATGGAATCACTGAAGAAAACAGGTAGAATAGCTGTAACGCGCATCTTATTTCACCGTAGCAACGCATTTTATCACAGATGAGTGGCAGCAGCGCCTCATGTGCTCCAAACAAGAGCAGTGAATGAGAGCCTTCCAGTTCACTTGCCTCATCACTTCCATTTGATTTATTAATAAAAGATATTGAAAGTAAATTCATTATGGATCATTACAGATACTTTGCTTTAGAACTACGAAGTCCTCACACAGTGAGAGAAAAAAATCCGGTATAGAAAAAAAAGATGCATCAAGATGCATCGATAATCGATTTATAATCGCATCGCAGCCTCTGAATCATAATCTAATCGTGAGGTCCCTAGAGATCCACACCCCTAGTGTTTATGTAGGGTATTATAATGTTTACTGCTTGTTCACTAAAGCCGATAGTTTCATAACTACCAATAATCAGGTAGATTTTTTTATACTCAAAATCATTTCACCACCATGACTCACTACAGGAGAGATAGTGGAGAGGTGGCAAAACAAGTGAAATTAAAGACAGAAATATGTCGATATATGTCAGTGTTCACTGCTTGCAGTTGGCGCAGAATGTTGATGAAAACAAAACAAGATGGTAACATAAGCCCAGGTAACATACGAAAGCCCATGATACCAATATGATTACAAATTCTAATACAGAATCATAATTTAAGTTACATGGAAATGTAATGAGTTAATCCATCTGTAGAGAACGTTATAGAGCATTGTGTGAATAACTATAACTCGTTTAGAGCTTTTTTATAACGTGTATCTCACCCTGACTTTCTTCGGAGCTTCTTGTTTCTGGCTGTAGACGCTGGTGTTACCGAAACCTTCACCAAACTTGACCACAGCTCCGTCCACTATAAACGTCACTGGAGTGTTCTTCATCTGGTGCTGATAGAACAGCAGGAGACCACACCTAACACAAACACACACAAGCCACAACTCATCACAACCTGAATCAGTTCAGTGAATTAAGACAGCAGAAAGAACACTGAGAGACGTTTACAGTGAAGCTGTATTAAAGTTTTTAAGTTGCACTGAAGTCTGTAAGTTTGTGTGGCTTCAAGCTGAGGAGTTTAAATTGTACACAAACCTTGCTGTCGTCATGATGAAATAATCATGGACGTCCCTAAAAAGACGGCGTCCAAAAGGCAGCATATGTTGCTCCAAAATGCGTTCAGTGTTAATGGGGCTTTCACACATGTGCAGGTTAGCCAATACCCCCCTAGACCATGACAGACGCTGGATTTCTAACTTTACGCTGGTAAGGTTGACTCGTCAGACCACAATACATTTTTCCCCTGTGCATCAGTCCATTTCGGATGAGCTCGAGCCCAGAGAAATCGGCGGTGTTTCTGGATGTTGTTGATATATTACTTCCACTGTGCACAGTCCAGTCTTAACTTGCTTTTGTGGATGTAATGACGAAAAGTGTTTACGATTTGTCAAAGTACTCCTGAGCCCATGTGGTGATACCCATCACAGAAACATGTTGGTACAGTGCTGTCTGAGGGGTCAAAAGTCATGGACACCCAGTTGTGGTTTTCAGCCTTTTCCTTTTATGCAAGATTTCTTTGGATTCCCTAAATCGTTTGATGATATTCTACACTGTAGAGGGTGAAATACCTAAAATCCTTGCAGTCGCTCCCTAAGGAATGTTATTTTTAAAATGTTGGATTATTTGTTGATGCATCTTTTGGGAAAAGTAGCCTCGACCCATCCTTGCTCATTAAGGAGTCGGCTTTTTCGGGATGCTCCTATTATAGCCAAGCATGATTGCATCACCTGTTAAAGATGTTTTTTTTCCCACAACATTTCTAGTCTTAAATTGCTCCTGTCCCAACTGTTTTGGAAGATGTTGCTGGCATCAGTTTTAGAATGAGCATATATTAATAAAAAACAATGAAGTTACAAAGATAAACATTAAATATCTTGTATTTTTACTGTTTTATCCAAATACAGCTCAAAGTAGATATACAACCCACTACTTTCTGTTTGTATTTGCATTTTACCTACTGTCTTTTAGTTTTTTGAAACTAGGTTTGTATATTTTTACGGTCATATTTGCAAAAAAATGACATAACTATAAAATAAAAAATAAAAAAATCTTAACTTACAATGTATATTAATGGAACAGGATTTTATTCGAAATCATTTTGGACCATTTTTAATCTGTTCATCATAAAACTTTGATGGTCATTTTTGCCACAATGTTCATTTGTTCATTTTCAAATTATGTTAAAAAAGGAGATACAACTTTTGTTCCAATAACAAACAAGATAAACAATATATTAAATGGCCCACATCATGGAAAAGCCTCTTTTTTTAAATAACTGCAGCGCTACGTGAACATTGTTTAAGTTTAAAAACACACTGGGCCATACAATCCACACACATACTTATTTACATATATCCGCCTATTTAGCCTACAGCAGTTTAGCTCCGCCCATTCACACTGAAGTTATAAGCAGTGTATTTTTAATGTTATTTGGATACAATTTTTCTTACTTTCCACACTTCTTGCGATACTGCCGCTCGATCCCCTCCGGCCTGCAAAACATTTTACAGCTTTACTGATGTATTTCTGCGTGTGGGTTCATACAAACAGATTTACTTATCATTAATCGTTTAATTATCATTAATAATCATTATTATTATTTATAGCAGACTATTCACCTTTTCAGGTACACGCTCTCGTCCTCCTCCACGTTACAGAACTTGTGGGCGTGTTTTGCTGCGTCAATCACTCGCGCCTTGTCCCTGGGCCTCATGGGTAATTTCTCCAGCTGGCAGTCTGAGAGGAAACATTAAATAAACAAACAAACAAACAAACTAAGTGAACTCTGAATGAGGCCACTGTGACATTAAAACATCACACATCTCAGCAGTAAGTGTGCACTTACCAATGAAAACACTCTATAACATTAGAATAAACACAAATAAACCTAAATGCAGCTGTCAGTAGTCTGAATGTGGTATTTTCATTAAAATTATGAATATGTTGGTAGGAAGAACACAGATTTGGTTCCTGACTTCTTGCAGCACTGTTGCCATCAGATGGACTTGCCAGTTCCATCTCCTGAGTTAATTCAATGAATTATTGATCGGATAAACCAGGTACTGGATGGTAACTGTAAACACAGAACCTCTAGTTTTACAGTACTGCACAAAAGTCAGACTCACTTTCTTTAATTTCCAGTCAAAACAGTCATTAAGCACAACTCACACAGATATATTTGTGAGGAGATCAGCTGTAAGACAGTCCACTTGCATAATGAGGGAGAAAGTCAAAGTAAAAATAACTGAAGTTTCCAGAAGTTCAAAAAAAGACTAAAAGCTACAGAGAAAATGTGTCTCCTAACAACCACCTGGAAGAGCTGGCAGACACCAAAACTGCCCCCCATCAGATGAAACAGCACTTAAAGCTTTCATCTCTGAGAGAGAGGAGAAAATCAAGCTGCTTCAGATCTGAAAACATCCACAGGTGTTTCTGTCCATCCTTCCACTGTGAGAAGACGACTCAGCGCTGTGGGTCTGAAAGGATGTGTAGCTGATCAAGAAGAACCTCACTGAGAAAAGGAGACGGACACATCAAACAAAGAAGCTGAACGATGGACTGACCACCCCAGAGTACAGACCTCAACACCACTGAATGTGTTTGATTACTTCAGAAAATGATCAACCAGCTTCTGAGACTGAACTTTGGAGGTGTGTCTGCAGATTCTTTGAGGAACTGAAAGTGAGTCTCCTGAAAAGAGTGGAAGCTGGAATGAAGGATGGAGAACTAAGCAGCGACAGTGTTTATCATTATTATGATCAATTACATAACATTCTCCTTTTCTGAGCATACTGTAGATATTTTTAAAAAATCCATATTTAAAAAAAACGTCAATACTGCATGTTTAATTACAAAGAGAGCAAAATTAGTCCTGTTTAATTGGATGTAGTGCAGCATGGTGTGCGAAATGCTGAATGTCTTTTCCAACTTAACAAATATCAGTACATACACTGACCATGCATAACATTATGTCCTTGTTTCTATGCTCATTGTCCATTTTATCAGCTCCACTTACTATATAGGTGCACTTAGTAGTTCTACAGTTACAGACTGTAGTCCATCTGTTTCTCTGCATACTCTCCATCTGTTTCTCTGCATACTTTGTTAGCCCCCTTCAGTGGTCAGGACCCCCATGGACCCTCACAGAGCAGGTACTACTTGTTGCTGTTGTCGGAATGAAAACCTTGCATCTCCATTTTTGATGTTTTTTGAGTTTTTTGACATATTTTAAAATACCTGTTTCCATTTACATTGTGTGTAAATTTCATGTTGAATGGACTAAAAGAAACGACCCAAAATGACTTAGAAAAAAATCTGGTTCCATTGACTTACATTAAAAGGACAGTATGTTTTTTCCTTCTCCTGTAAAGTTATGATCTTGGAGATACAACGTTCTCCTTCAACAACAGCGATATATAATATCGTTATGTACGCTGTTATAAATAAAGGTTCTGTTCAGGTACATTTTTCGTTCATCAATGTACAAACAGTGTAAATGTTCCCTCAAAGCTCCAACAGTGGTTTTAAGGTCTGATTGTGAACCTTAAATAAGTTTTTCCAGGTGAAAAGTTCGTATTTGTACCTTTTCATAACCGAATGTTGTAAAACAGAACAGTAAAATAAAAGCCTGGAGACGAGACGGGGTGTGTGGAGTCAGTACAGCTTAGAACATATCATTTCAGTGGATTATGGTTCAGTTATGTTCCCTGACTAAAGGTACTGAGATGGACCCTTGAGGGTCCCACCCCAGTGACAAGAGAGGAACTGACCCAGTGACAGTTTACTACCTTTATTTCTCAGAGTGTTTTGTGATATTACAACTCTTTGAGTGCTGTTTATCTGATTGGGGGGCAGCTTTGGTGGTCCACCTGGTCTCCCAGGTGGTTGTTAGGAACCTCATTCTCCCCTTTTTTAAACTTTTTTGAACTCCAGTTTTGGAAACTCACTTGTTTTCCTTCGACCTTCTCTTTCCTCATGCAAGAAGATTATCTTATATCTGACCATCACCTCCCGGGCTTTACGTAAGACTCTCCGAGAGCAGGTCTTCGTTCTCTGTATTTAACGTGATCTTCACGCTCCGCCGCTCGCGTGTCCTTTCAGAAAATCTATCCGGTCACATACGCCATGAGTCACATCTCCATACGGCTTCATACTCGCAAATAACGTTCAATATTTAATGAAAGGTGTAAGATCTCGCAGGTCTGATCAGTAGCCGAGCGAGCGGTCAGGGAAACGTGTGAATCAGCTCTAAAAGCTTTTCTGTGTCCTTTTCTTCACTTTTAAAGAACTTTCCGTGTCCGGTATGCTCGGAGACGGAGGCTGGTACGGTGTTAACACTGCAGTACCGCAGCAGATATACTTATTTACATAAATATATTTATATATACAGTAGTGTAGGACAGCAGGCTCTAGGAGTAATGCAAACTGCTTCTGACTGCTGTAGGAGGTGCTTCTGTCTGTCTGTCTACCTATTATACAAACCGTCACTGTCCGTTGTCTTGATACCGTTTATAAATGTCTCCTTCACACTGTGTGAATATTTAATGCGGAACGGACCATCATTTTTAAATGATCTGCAGAAAAATGTAACTTTTTTAATATTTGCAGGGGTTGTGTTCACTTCTTTTCCCCACTTTCTCAGTTTTTACCTTCAAATTAAGACAGTAATGATAAATTTTGATTCAAAAATCTATAAAAAGTGTTATTTGGCTAAACTGTTTGCCTACAACTTTACATTAAAGCTAAAAACGTTTGTCAGTCTCCCATAAACCAAGCATTCTTTTGTGCAGCACCCTGAAGACGGATGTGTTAGCATTTGTAAAGGGATGCATTTTGTCATACCTATATGATTGGTCAAAACAATCATCATCAGAATGTATTTATTACTTTAAACAATTCAAAGAAGCCATGCAAGACTGAATCTCCAACAGCTCCCCACTCCCTACTGTATACAGTCATGTGAAGAAGCAAGTAAACCCCATGAAGTATTTCCTTTTTTTGACATATGTGGACACTAATAGTATACTATTATAATACACACAGACACACCGACCCTTGTTTCTACGCTCATTGTCCACTTTATCAGCTCCACTTACTATATAGGTGCACTTTGTAGTTCTACAGTTACAGACTGTAGTCCATCTGTTTCTCTGATACTTTGTTAGCCCCCTTTTACCCTGTTCTTCAGTGGTCAGGACCCCCATGGACCCTCACAGAGCAGGTACTATTTGGGTGGTGGATCATTCTCAGCACTGCAGTAACACTGACGTGGTGGTGGTGTGTTAGTGTGTGTTGTGCTGGTCTGAGTGGATCAGACACAGCAGTGCTGCTGGAGTTTTTAAACACTGTGTCCACTCACTGTCCACTCTATTAGACACTCCTACCTTGTCAGTCCACCTTGTAGATGTAAAGTCAGAGACGATAGCTCATCTGCTGCTGCACAGTTTGTGTTGGTCATCCTCTAGTCCTTCATCAGTGGTCACAGGACGCTGCCCACAGGACGCTGTTGGCTGGATATTTTTGGTTGGTGGACTATTCTCAGTCCAGCAGTGACACTGAGGTGTTTAAAAATTCCAGCAGCACTGCTGTGTCTGATCCACTCAGACCAGCACAACACACACTAACACACCACCACCACGTCAGTGTTACTGCAGTGCTGAGAATGATCCACCACCCAAATAGTACCTGCTCTGTGAGGGTCCATGGGGGTCCTGACCACTGAAGAACAGGGTAAAAGGGGGCTAACAAAGTATCAGAGAAACAGATGGACTACAGTCTGTAACTGTAGAACTACAAAGTGCACCTATATAGTAAGTGGAGCTGATAAAATGGACAATGAGCGTAGAAACAAGGAGGTGGTCATAACGTTATGCCTGATTGGGGTGTGTCACCTTTATCTATCAACACTGTTCAAATGAAGACCAGATATGTGAACTGATGTCCAAATATGGTGAAAATATCTAAATTTTTATGGGCTGTATTGTGAAAAGTCATCATCAGGGTCGTTAAAGCTGTGTGGGCGGGACAAACCACATCAGCCTTCTGATTGGTGGGGGTACTTCTTACATATGCATGACCAACAGTTAGGCCCGGTTTAGTGGTGTTGGACAGTCATTCATAAGACACACTGTCCCCTCAGAATTAGGCTAATTATTAGAATAAGGTCCTACCTGCCCTCTGAGCAGCTCTGAGACACTGAGCTTCAAAGATTTTGCATTCTAAATAGCAAAACTGATATGATGAATTTATTCTATATGTATAATATCAAAATCCTATTAAATTTATAAATGAGTTTTTTTCAGGTCAAATAACAGACAAGAACCTTCTAATCCTAGAAACCCACTTTCAGCTTGGAGTTAAAAGGTTCTATCTGGCAAAACATGAAAATAAGCAACGATTTTAGCAAGGAACACAAACGGTTTACTCACAATTCCTTTTAAAACATAAAATTAGTGTCAACATGACCAGAAAGTTAAATTTTAACGCTTTATATGAAATTTTTACGACACTTATTTCTATTATTTATTTATTTTTCACGACATTTATTTCTTGTTTTAGGACAAACCATCTTTTTCTTATCCAATGAAGCACTGCTGTTTACTAAAAGGCCAGACAGAAACCAGCTACTGTAATAAACCATCCCAGCAGGTCGGTGTAGCAGGTCAGCCTAAAGGCCGTATGAGGTCTTGTTTTATATCAGAAATGCGACTCTAATGCACCAAAATGTCTTATTTTGGAAGAAAGAAGAAAAAGAAAATATGGATAAATTAATGAAATTCATATTTGTGTTGTAATTAAGAGCCCATCCGTTCAAATGTTTACTCTTTAATGACCTCCAAGGCTTAATATGTACACAATTTAAGACCGTAAGACCTTTTTAAAGAGCTGTGAGACGACAGGCAGAGTTTCAGCAACATGTTTTCATGTTTCACAAAGTTTTATAAACTTTTCCCGCAGTCGCTGAGCAGAGCGGCGACATAATAAAGGAGCAGAACCTGATTGGTTCTCTTGTGTGTATTCGAACTGCTGACTGGCTCACAGATAGAACCTTTTAGAACTAAACTAAACTAAACTAAACTAGAGTTTTACTTCGGAGATAAAACCTTGTTTTCTAGATAAAGACTCCAAAAATGCACAATTTAAAAAAACCCTCACTTAATGTTAAGAAGTTGTCAAAGAATAAGAAAACATAAATCAGAAATGTCAGATAGAACCTCATAACTCCAAAGGGACCGTGTGCTGCACAGGTATAACTTCACTTAAAAAGAAAATACAGATTTAGGATGCAAGACCTGCACTGTGCACTGTGCACTATGTAGGGAGCAGTGATCCATTTGAGCTTCAGCCCAGCAGTTTGTCCAGTTTAACAGCATTTTGTAGACCCTCTAGTCAAGATAACAGCTGATCAGCTACAGTCTGGAACTGTAAACAAGCCTGATCTGAAACTTTGCCCACTTTTATTAACTAAATTTTTACTCAGAATTGTTTCCAGCAACCAGAGCAGCTGTAGTTCCAACAGATAAGGAAATAAGGCTCGTTACTAGACCCCTCTGAACGCTGTTTTTCGTACCAGGCCTAAGCTTTTTTTACAATTATCCGTTCCACCTTAAACGCCGCAGCAGTTCCATTGTGGCGCCGGCAGCTCCAGCTGTAGCTGCCGCACCATTTAAGGTGGAACGGAGAGTTCGATAAACTCGGGCTACTTTTACTGTTACTCGGTTTCTACCTTCATTAAAGTGACCAAACGTTCACTTCAGGGTGGTTTAGATTATTCTAGCCGCCTCTGATAAGATAGTAAATGATAAAATGAAAGATAAACGAGTTTAAACTCACCCAGAACCAGAACCATCTGCCCGCACAGGCAGTAGTAAACATGCAGAGGCTTCTCTCCGTCGTCGTACTCCTCTCTGTCCCGCGTGTCGGAGCACACCACACTGCGGGAGACCACCTTCGGCATTATTAATCAGATTTATTACCTTTATTAGGATTAAAAACAGAGTCTCGCTCCAAAGTAAACACCAACGCCGAGGAAACGCTGCTGCGGGCGCCTAAAGATGACGCAGTGTAGCACCGCAGCCGCTGCGTTCCCGCAGGAAAGCCGCCAGAGGGCGCTGCTGCAGCAGAACTAAAACTCGACCATAACTTTCAGATTTTATACAGACAAAAATAAATTTTTTTAGAGATTCTTTCCAGATTCCTCTGTCAGATGTTTCATTTCCTGAAATGTTTCGAATTTTGTGGCTAAGAGGTGATATTTATTGCTTTATTTGTCATTAAATTCAGTCTGCTGGTCTCCTGGGACTTCAGATTTTTATCAAAACAATAAAAATAAACATCTGAAGGAGCATAAAAGTATGAAAACTACGTATAGTAAAAAAAAATATAATAAAATAGTAAATATCAAGGGTATAACTATAAAAATTTGATCACTTTAGACCAATAAGAACAGGATCTGTGGCAATAATAAACAAAGCTGCTGAATATGAATAAGTTAAAAGTATATTTATTCACTTTCAAGCGGTTTTTATCGGTTTATTGTCATTAATAATTGTTCTATTTGTGCAGTTATATGTATTATCAGTTGATGTGTAATAATAATAATAATAATAATAATAATAAGTACAGTATCATTATTTTTATTAGTAGTAGTAGTTTTATTTTGTTTGTTTGTTTGTTTATTTGTTTGCTTGCATGATTTCTCAGTTTAGCTGGATAATTTCAGCAAAAACTGAGCACAGACACTGGACAGGCTCCAGTTTGGGCTTAAATTATCTGGCTAACTGATCCTGCTTTGTGCACGCTGGGCCTAATTGACCTTTCGACCTCAAACACCTGCAGACTAATAAGCTCCTCTCAGCGCACGACTCTCAGTAATGAAGCTATTACACATCTCGATTATTACAGCGGATTATGATAAGCTGTTTAATGTATAATATTAATAATAACTTTATCGGCGCTGCAGCTTTCCAAGCTCTCAAAGTACCTCACAAAGTACACAGAGAGAACAAACACAAACCGAAGAACAATGAAAAGAAAAAACTCCTTAAAGGCCGAAGTGCATAAATAAGTTTTGATTTGTCAGCAAAACCAGAATAAGTGAAGAACTCTGGATATTCGGAGTACAAAACCAGGAAGCAGCATCTCAGTTTCATTGCAGGAATCTGCAACATTTCATGAGCTTGAATGGTTTGACAGCCCTTGACTGCCTTGAGGACACGTTAAGGGGCTCAGTACAGTGTGTGAGGCAGGTGTACAGAATTGTTCCAGTTAGAGTCACCAGCCCAAGCAGGAAGTCAGTCTGTCAAACAATGACAATAATAACTAGAAGGGAAAAGTTAATAAACATAATTTTAGCCAAGTATCTTTTTTAAAGTAGTTGTTGATGATTATTGACTGTTTTTGATAAATTAATTGGGATTATTCGGTAATTCCAGGCAGTCACTATGATATTCCAGTAGAGCTGCACAATATGACAATATACGACACGATACTGTGATAAATTATGTCACAATACAACACAGTATACCTTTCTGAGCTTATCATGGATCTAGGTATGAAATACAGTGGGTCCTGGGGGATCTGGGACCCCCTAATTAACGTCTTGGACCTCCTGAATGTCCGTTTGGGGAAAATAGACACTTAAATCCAGATTCAGTGAAGCTCACTGTTTACCTGCTTCTCCCACAGTCAGCTTCTGTCTTTGGTGTTCTTAACTAACTAGAGCTGCAGCACTGCTCTGCCTCAGGGTGGCGCTGTAGCAGACCGGCTCACCCAGTTGGTCCTTCGTAGCCTAGAAACTGTAACTCTGCCCGGATTCCTTTGAAAAACTTCACAATGAGCTGCAGCAGATCTGCAAATCTGAAAACTCGCCCAGTTTCCCAAGAGTTTGGAGTGAAGAGTGACTGTTCCTCATTTCTCACACTGAAGACAGAAGAGGAGACGAGGAAGATCTCAGTTAACGTGAGGAAGAGCGCAGAACCACACTAGAACAGAGACTTTACAGGAGAACAACTGATAAACGAGACACTTTGCTGCCATTGAAACATCAGTGCCACTATGGTGAATGAGTTAGCAGTAAGCCAATGCTGGAGTGGCCAGCCAACATGGGACCCCCCCCGAAAACCAGGGGGTATTTCACCCACTGTCGTGGAAATCGTCAATACTCGTAACTTAAAACACCGATTCATTATAAAGAGAACAAAATTAGCCCAGTTTAACTGGATTTAGTGCCAAATACTGAATAAATGATCAGAAGTGTGAAAAAATAAATAAATATTGTGAAAAATTAATTCACAAATTTTTCAATATTATACGTTTCGCTACTTCTATATTCCAAGTAGTTGCTATGGTGATGCTATGCGGTTGCCGTGGAATTCATGCTGGTTGCTAAGTCAGTGCGATGGTATTGATAGGTGGTTGCTAAAGTGTTACCAGATGGTTGCTATGGTGTTACAAGGTGTTGGTACATTATCAGGGGCTTGCTTAGTAGTTGCTAGGTTGTTGCTATGGTACCTTAGATAGTTGCTACGGTATTGTTGAAGTGGTTCATATGTTATTCCAGGTGGTTGCTAGGGCACTGCTATGTGGTTGCTAGGTGGGTACTTTGGTATATATATGAGTCATCACAGTTTTCGGTTGTTAGGAATGGAAAACAGCGGCAGCAGCTTTATGCCAGGATTCTTTACGAAAGAGTCACTGCAAAACTAATGCATACAGGCTTATATATACACTATGGACAAAAGTATTTGGGACACCTACACGTCCAGAGGCATTAATATGGAGTTGGTCCCCCTTTGTAGCTCTAACAGCTTCCACTCTTCTGGGAAGCTTTCTATAAGATGTTGGAGTGTCTGTGGGAATTTTTCACCCATTCATCCAGAAGAGCATTTGTGAGGTCAGACACTGATGCTGGACGAGAGGGTCTGGCTCACAATCTCCATTCTAGTTCATCCCAAAGGTGTTGATGGGGTTGAGGTCAGGGCTCTGTGAGGGCCAGTCAAGTTCTTCCACACCAAACTCACCCAGTTAGGCCTTTATGGAGCTGCTTTGTGCACTGGGGCTCAGTCATGCTGGAACAGGAAAGGTTCTTTTGTTCCCACAAAGTTGGAAGTGTACAATTGTCAAAAATGTCTTGGTGCTGAAGCATTAAGGTTTCCATTCACTGGAACTAAGGGTTCTAGACCAACCCCTGAAAAACATCCCCATATCATCATCCCTCCTCCACCAAACTCTACAGCTGGCACAGTGCAGTCAGGCAGGTAACGTTCTCCTGGCATTCGCCAAACCCAGACTCGTCCATCAGACTGACAGAAAGAGAAGCTGATTCGTCACTTCACAGAATATGTTTCCACTGCTCCACTGAGTCCAGTGGCGGCGCTTTACTCCATTACATCCGACGCTTGGCGATGTATCGCTTGTATGCAGCTGCTCAGCCATGGAATTCAGAACCATTAGCCTACTGTGTTTGCACATAGAGGAATTAGACCTCTGCATTTGACCCATCCGTGCAGTGAAACACCCACATACATGCACACTAGTGAACACACATACTAAGGGGCACTGAGCACACTTGCCGGGAGTGGTTGTCAGCCCTATCCACAGCACCTGGGGAGCAATTGGGGGTTAGGTGCCTTGCTCAAGGGCATTTCAGTGACATACTGTCAGCTGAGGGGATTGAATCGGCGACCTTCCGGTCACAAGGATGGTTCCCTAACCTCCAGCCCTGAAGCTCCCAGTGCAGTTTTTGTGTTGATGTTGATGCCAGAAGAGGTTTGAACTCTGCGGTTATTGATCAGCAGAGTGTTGGAGACTTTTATGCTCTATGCTCCTCAGAACTCAGCGACCTGCTCTGTAACTTTACGTGGTCTGACTTTTCATGTCTGAGTTGCCGTGGTTCCTAAATGCTTCCACTTTTTAATAATACCACTCACAGTTGATCATAGAAAATCTAGGAGGGAAGAAATTTCACAAACTGACTTGTCGCAATGGTGGCACCTATTACAGCACCACACTCATGAACAGTGAACTCTTTAGAATGACACATTCTTGCACTAATGTGTGTAAAGGCAGGCTGCATGGCTGGCTGCTTGATTTTATACACCTGTGGCAATGAGACTGACTATGAAACACCTGAATTCAATGATTAAGAGGTGTGTCCTAATACTTTTGTCCATATAGTGTATGTTATTGTCTGTTACAAGCTAAACAATACAAATTATAGAAGGTGTTTACAAGCTTTAAATGTCCAGGTTTAATTCAGATCAGCCAAAAACTAAAACGAAAATAGTGAGCAAAAATTAGCATTATAGCAGTGTTTTGCCATTTATGGTCCAAACCGAAGGCCAAGCTCTAATAGTCACAGTTCACCACTGCTATTCATACTGTGCTATCTTTCACCCCCACACAGTGAAACCTGGCTGTAATCCAGTACACATGCAGATCCACCAGTAGCAATGCAATAATACTTTTACAATACAGTGATATGACATGCTTTAGAAAGCGAAGGTCATTCGTACTGTCGAACATTTCACAAAGGATAATGGTGAGCAGAAAGGTTTCCACTTCAGACTGAGACAAAAAAGCAACAGAAAGCAGAAAAGACTTTTATTATATGCCAATCTGACAGGAACAAAGAATGGACAGCATTAGAAATCATGCAATAATTGAAAATATGGAAATACAGATGCACATAGTTCCTTTGAGAAATCATTGGTCATTCCATCCCAGAACACAGAAACAGAATAAAAGCACTGAACTGTATTTTAACGTTCTGCTTTCATGTTCTGACATCAACAGAACATTCCTGAAATTGTTATAATAATAAAAATATATTAATTAGTTGAATTTAAATAGCGCCTTTCTCAAAACCAAGGATGCTTTACAATAACAGCTCTACCAATCAACAGCAAATGAAACATAAAAACTGGTCTCAAGCTTTTCTAGCAGAAAATGCTATCCTCCACCATGCAGAGGTGGAACATTCAGAAAAACTGCCCAGCTCACAGCTCAGACAAACTCTCCTGCTGCAGTACAATGCCTCCCAGCTTGTGGCCCGGTCAAACTCTGCTACCAC